TCTGCTGACAAGGGGTTCTGGACTCCAGCAGGCCACCAGGAGGTCCACACATGTAAGACCTTTCTCAGGGTGAAACTTCACACACAATGGAGTGAGGACACAGAGATAGGAGAAAGGAAAGAGTTCAAGGCCTCTAAAGAGAATATTTTTAAGGAAATGTTAAGGGCTAGTATGGATGGTAATAGGAGACTCAGGTATCACACATATTTATGATATTTAAATAATTAAGAAATAAAATAAATGTTTGATTCAGAATTAAGTGCTAACTTAAAGAGCAGACAAATGGAAAAGATGAACTCATTCAGACTCTAGGTCTCTTCTGCACAGATGAGGATGCAGACAGCCAACCCCTCGGAACAGAAGATTTTTGCTGCTGCTGCTGCTGCTGCTGCTGCTGCTGCTGCTGCTGCTGCTGCAACATTATTATTATGAGCAATCTACTTCCTTCACATTAGAAAAATGTATTGACTTACCTGATCAAAACTGTTTGGATGTCCAAAAGCCATTAGGAAATAATCAGGGGGAAATGCCCCATTGCATTTCTAGTGCTTTCCTAACTGTAACCAGGAGACTTTGGGCTGTGTTTCACATATGAATGAGACTGGGACTTCCAGGTCTGCCCCTCAGAGAGGGAAACGGAGGAGGAAGGAGGGTGAGCAGCAGGTCACTCATTTTTGCCTTTCTGATGGAATATGACATTTATCCTTCCCACTCTGCCAGATGCCTGAAATTCTCATGTCTTTACAAAATATTTTTCTATTTTGTTGAATCAGGCAGCACAACTACAATATGTCTTCTCTCTGTGACTGCCTTTCACAGCCTTTGCCTTCACGAGACTTAGATGAGGTTTGGGTGATTCATGGCGCTTAAACTTCTCCAGAGCACTTTTTCAATTGGAAAATTCTCCTAAACTGAATGCATCATCAGCACGGTTGTCCATGCATAAAAGAACTACAAGCAAAACAATGAGCACCATTTTTTAAAACCTACGCTTAAGCCAAGAAAAACAGTTATATCACAAAATGTTAAAAGACCTTATTTTTCAGTTTCCAGGAATCTTTCATGGAGAACATGGCCCATCTTTGTCTTAGAGCCCCTTATTCTAGGCTTTCTAAATTACAAATAAAAGAAATAGTTTATATTCAGTTTAGCTTGTTTTCAAGTTATTAACATGATATATGGCAATGTAAATAATGCCACCTGCTATATTTATGTGGAACTGATCACCCTTCACCCATATTAATTCTTTTCTTCATTCTTTGGGAAAATGCTGAGATTTTTTTTTTTGTATTTTAAGTGGCTTTCTCATTATTATTTCTATGTATTAAAAAAGAAGATAGTTTTCTAAAATGTTTTAATGTAGAAGATGGGTTTTCGTGAAAGTAGTTGTACTTATGAACCACAAATCTTATCTGAAATTTCATTAAAAATATTTGCCTATATTTTTGATTCATTGCTCCTCCTTATGTAATGGAAGGAGGGCCCCATAAGGGGCAGGAGATGCAGACTTTAGTTCATCTTAACATCAGCGCAGTTTCCCAAATGTAAAACAGGCATCATAAAAACTTCCTACCCCCGTGTCAGAGATACTTATTATTTCACTTAACAAGTATTTATTGAACATAATCATAAACTTAACAAGTATTTGTTGAGTATAACTATAAATCATGAAAATTAATACAAGCCACAGTAGTACAGGGGCTCTGCAGGTTCTAATCCCCCTCCACCACTGATGAGCTATGAATGTGGGCACATTTCCCCATCAATAAGATGGTATGCACTTCTTAGAGTTATTTTGAGATTAAGCAAGTAAAACATACATGTCTGTGCCTGGCATATATGATGAACATCAATGTATGTTAATATGTGTGTTGTTAGCTATAAGCATTATTTTTACTGGTTGTTATAGATGGAAAGATGAAAACTGTTTCAATCTAGTGACAGGTAGATATGAACAAAGGAAATCACTGGGTGTGATGGTGCACACCTGTAATTCCAGCAGTCAGGAGGCTGAGGCAGGAGGATCACTATGAGTTTGAGGGCCAACCTGGGCTACACAGTGAGTTCAGGGCTAGCCTGGACTACACAACAAGACCTTGTCTCAAAAAAAAAAAAAAAAATGACATAATTCCTACAACAGAAAGCTATATCTGAATGATTTGAGTAGAGGTAAATTTTTCACTTGCTTAAATAATTTGGAAAAAGTTATTTTGTTCATCGAAAGCTGTACAGTATTTGAATCTACAGGATTAAACATATGCTATTGCATGGTGTCTTCTCCTTGCAAAAATGAACATTTTTCATACCAATAAAAATGCTAGAAATTTTATAATAGAGCTTGAAATCAGAAGACATGATGTATAAGTCAGAACACTTCTTATTACATGGAAAAAGAAATTCAAATCAAACGCACTTAAGCAAAAAGAGAATTCATTCATTGCCTCATATAGCTGAGAAATCAGAGTTCAGCTGGCTTATCAAGGTCAGTGTCTCTCACACCCTCTCTCTCTCTCTCTCTCTCTCTCTCTCTCTCTCTCTCCTTATTCTGTAAGGTGCTCCATTCTCAAGTTTGTTCTCCCCACAGGCTGGTACCTGCAATCGCAGACTCACCCATGTCTTCCCCACTGAACATCCTCAGCATAAACAGAGCTCCTCTTCCACAACGGCTCTGGCAGAAATCTCTGTGTGACTCTTCCTGCCCCAAACCATTCCACAATTCCATGCCTGAACCTATAGGAAGATGTAGTAGTCTCCTGAGATTTGGAGCACATATACACTTCTGGAGCTGGGGTTCGAGTCATTACCACTAGCACCACATACAGTGAGAAAAAGGGGTGGGCAGTTCCCACAAGGAGAAAGGACAATGAAGACTATAATCAGAAGGATGGTACAAAACCTAGATAAAATTCTAATAATAGCTATGTTGGAAGGGTTGGGAAGGTGCTATGACCTTTCTAAGTTTCAGTTCCAACATCTGGAAGGATGGACCTTCATCTGCATTACCACTATTGCCATTCTACCTTTAGTTCTTTAATTCTGTTGCTCTATGTTTCTATGAAAATGACTGGTATGTGGCATGCTGAAAGACATTTGGTTTTCTTTTTTTTTTGAAACAGGGTCTCACTATGTAGTCCAGGCTGGTTTCTAACTCATGGCAACATTCCTGCCCCAGCCTCCTGAATGCTGAGATTACAGGCATGTGCCACCATGCCCAGTGACACTTGATTCTTAAAAATGTATAATTCCTGGGCTGGGCATGGTGGCACACTTTTGTAATGCTAGCACTCAGGAGGATGGGGCAGAAGGATGGTTGCGAGTTTGAGACCAGCATGAGCTACAAAGGAGCTCAAGCCCAGCCTGAACTTCACAGTGAGACCGTGTCTCCAAAAACAAAAAAAGATAAAAAAAAGAATAATTCCAGAGGAAGAAGTTTTTTTTATAAAGCTCCTGAAATAAAGCTGTGGCATTGAAGAATGAAGGTGAAACTGAGTGGCACTCAGGTTTCTGGGTGTAACTTCTCCTTAGGAACGTCTGAGACACTAGTAAAATGTGACAGTTCATTTTGTATTCCTGATTCCTCTCAAGGATATACCCTACGAAAATTATTATCATAATAATTATTTAATTTTCACAGATTCTGGGACAAAAGGAGTGAATCTAATAGTTACTTATTAGTCTTATGTCATATAGAAATACTGAATCACTAAATTTAAGATGTATATTAAAGTAATATAAGTTTCAATAGTTGACAGAGTTATCAATTCACATGGAGAAAAACTAAATCACAGGGATTAAGCTGTATACTAAGGTAATATAATAAGTTAGTAGAGCTCAGACTAATTCAAAAGTCCCCAACTGACAACATTCTCAGGAAAAAATGACAAATTGAGGTAAAACAAGACCAAACTATCATAACAAACTTACACAAAAGATATCTAACCCACGGCATCAAACTTTTCTAATAATCCCCAGAACACAATGAGAATTAGGTGAATCAGGAGAGGTTCAGTAGCATCTATTCAGTTCCCTAAGTGATATTTTTTGCCACGTTGGATGTATCCTGATCTCAGATCTACAAGGGGATATCACTAAGCAATGTGTATGATCCCGTCGCCTACACAGAAGGCCGTTTTGGTCATGTAGCATGTTGATGCTATCCTCAGTTGGTTCCGTTGCTTACAGGACATTTCCCAGTATCCATGGCCCTGAATGCATAGACTCTAGATTGCTTTTTCATAAGGAACAACCAAGTTCAGACAACCAAGTTCATCCTGCTAAGAGCATGCCATTGGTAAGCATGTTCCTACTGGAAATAATAGTATTTTGTCTGCAAGTCTGCTGCCAGACCTGGTCCCCTTTCTTTCCTAGGGCCCTCTCCACTGTAAACTGACAGAAGGGGTTACAGACTTGCAGCTTTGCCATGTACTTGCCCACAAGTATATCATTCAGAGTTTGATGGTGCTGTAATGAAACACCATATGACACTTGATATTCTAGGAATGCTCTGGCTACAACTTCCAAATCTCTGAAAGAAACTACTGCCTGAATGACCCATGAAGACCTCTTCTCTAGGAGGAAGGCTACAGACAAAGTAGACAGGTGAAGATTTGGCTAGGTCCCCAAACACAGCCTTAGCCTATTTGTGCCCAGATCCACTATAAAACAAGTAGAGATGTATGAAAAATCCAGTGTGCTTATATGAGTGAATAAAATCCATGAAAATAACCTTAACTATTGGTACTCAGGTTTCCACTGTAAAATGAGTAGAGTTATATGGAGAATCTACTGTGACAATATATGTGAGTAACTATCCATGAAAATGCAACTCATTGTTGAACTATTATTCAGTCATTATACAAATAAGTATTGAGCTCTACTATCTGCCAGTCACTTCATTATGCACCAGGATTCCAGTGAAAAGAGCCATTGTGATGAAATACATAGATACCCAAAGGGGTTGTTGTGTACATGACAAGTCCCCCAGGCTTGAAGAGACCAGCAGTGTGCAGGCAGAGATCTCTGAGAACTAAGATGGTACAGAAATGGAGGTGGGGGTGTGGGCAAGGAATGGCATTACAGGCAGAGGAAGCTGACATGTTCTGAGATGAGAAACAGTGTAGAATCTTTGGTGAACTGCAAGTGTGCCGCAGGGGGTGTGGAGTGGTGACATGAAAACCTGCTGGAGCCGTGTCATGGCTATGCTTTATGCCCCTATCCCATGACACTGTAGAGTATTTCCTGCTGGACACTAAAGGATTATAAACAAAACTTTCAAAGGATGAAATGGAGAGAAGTAAGACTTATGCATCTGAAAGATGGTAAGAATGTGATAGACAAAACAAGACTTGCTCATTCAACAAATATTTACTAAACTATTTATATTAGGACAATAAAACTGGTTTTAATGCACAAATTACATACATATAGGAGAGAAAATGTCCTTTTTTCAGGGTTTCTTATGAGAAGGTAAATTTTTCCCTTGTATTTTCAACAGTTAAACTTTTATAGTTCATGGGTTTATCTTTCCAAAGTACCAATACTGGAAGCAATACCCTTCATTATACTATGCAATCCTGAGTTGTTTCTAACATGATCTTCTCTTCCTACAGCTAGCACGATCTCTAAAACTCTCAGTAAGAGTTCTTATGATTCAACACCATAATAACTCTTGGGAGATGCCATACTAAATTAAATCCAAATGTCTGTTTTATTTGCCTTTTTCCTGTGTGAGCTTAGATATCCTTTTTTCCTGGAAGCCTGGCTTGAGTCCCTGCTCACCTGTCTCAATATGTTTTCTCAAAGTGCAGCGTCTGCCTGTCCTCTTTCATAGGAAGTTACCATGTAGGGAACTAAGCAGTATCACGCTTCCATCTCACTCAACAGAAGACTGGCTTGTATGGACCACAACTCTGATTAGCGCGTTTATTATTATTTCTGAAAGGCTTGGTACATCTATCAGGCAGTACCCACTTAACACTCATCAGTTGAATAACCCAATAAGAAAATAAGCAAACAGGTAGGACCTGAAGGAATAGTTGTTGACCAATTGCCATTCCACAATTTACAAATACGTACGAAGTGTCTGCTATGTTCCAAGAATGATAACGTTGTTAAAGTCACCATTTAAAGGACAGTGATGATAATCCCTTTTTCCTCTTTCTAACGAAAATAGCATTCCAAGGAATATCTTTCATAATTCCAAAGTTTTTTGACCAGTTAGTAACTAGTAAGCAGTTTCAGCTTTCTCAAGATGGTCATCTTTGGAATGCTAAAGACAAAAGCTTGGGGAAAAAGCACAAAGTCACGTGACTTTTAGTAACCCCATCCAGGAAATGCTACCCACAAACCACCAGTACAGAAGAGCCACAAACCAAGTGACTATATTTTTCTTTCAATCCTACAAATTATAACACCAGAAAAGCTGTTTGTTTAAGATGCTTTACTGCCGGCTTCTATCATTAACACAGTTCTTCTCTGTTACACCTATATGAGGTTTGCTTAAGCACCAATTCAAATCTTGTAGAACTGGAGACAATTTGTGTAAAATGATGAGCTCCTAAAGTGAGTCAAGAGCAGCTGAGGCTGAAGTGTGGCTAGGAATTCAACAAATGAGTGTTCAGTGCTCTATAGAGGAGTGTGGCTGTGAAGGGAAGAAGAGAGCACTGGCCAAGTAGGAGTTAAGGATGATGTGTAGGATTTCAGGGATATATTTAAATTAGCTGGTACGTGAGCATACTTAGGGACTGCAAAATAAAAAGAGTGGATGAAGAAGGGAAGACTGGCAAGCGGAAGAGAAGGAAAAGAAACACTGGAGAATGGTCCACGAGGTGATAGAAAGAAAGGAAACAGGGCACATCTCAAAAGCCATCTACCTGGGAAAGTCGGTGGAAGCTGAGCAGGCCGCCCGATGAGACACCGGCTGCACTTAGACACAGAGTGCACTGCGCTAGGTTGCAGCTTCTGACAGGAAGTTCAGAAAATCCTGGGGACACCGAGAAGCCCTAATAAGGACCATGGAATCCAGGTGGTACCCAGACATCATGAGCTGACAAAATATGTACCTTTTTCAGCTTAAACTATTTTTAAAGCATATATAGGTGCTGTTGTAAATACTTAAAACTGAGTTCACTTGAAAGTGTACTAAATTAATTCTAATGTGAATTAGAATGTCAATGTACTTTCCTCCTCCTCCTTTTCCTCTTCTTCTTTTCCCTCTCCTGTACCCCTTCCTCCTCCTCCTCCTCCTCCTTCTCCTCCTTCTTTTTTAACTTTAATCTCAGTCTGAAGGATGAGATTGATGATTCCTGAGAGGGACGAGAGCAGGACAGCTGCAGGACTTCTGGAAGATTCACCTTTCGGTGATTCACCTGTGAGCCACCTGTGTTCCTCCACACCCAGAATAACCATCCCCAAACATCATCTCACTTTGCCTACATATACTGTCTTTTCCTGACATGACCTCTCTACTTCAGAAAGAAAACAGTGCTCCCAAGTTCCAGGATCAATTAAAAACTGCAAACCTACTTTACCTTTTTTTTAAATTGCCCTTTCCTTTTTATGAGGATACCATCAGCTCCGACCTCAAAACAAAAGAATCTGTGACTCAAAGTGGTCCTGACGGTGCTTTGCCCAGGCTAACGTGTGCATCTGTCTTAACTTTCCAGAATTCTTCTGGGAAAGCAGCCAGCATCCCGCTCTGACTGCAGCACTCGCAGCCCCCTAGTGGAGCTACTGTCGCCCCAAACTGAAGCAAGGTTGGCTGAAAACCAATGCAAATGAAATAATAACCCACAAGAGGTGAGTATCAGATTGTCCTGAGAGGTGATGAAATGTTTTCTATAAAAATCTCACCACAGGAAAAAGCATACGAAAGGCAGCAACAAACTGAGGCTGAATCCAGAACAAATTGAACACCAGGACAGCAGGAAAACTAACACCATATAAAGATTAAAAGAGCACACTGAAACTGTCTATGTGGCTAAGGATCAACTAACCCAATAGTCATCACCCTGAGGGACCAGGGTGATTTCCCACAGGCCAGGCACTGCAGCCCAGAACTCAGGGGACCTTATGGCATCTTTGCCTGGGTTTTCGCCGTCGGTGATGATTCTTTTTCCTGTGCTGTCGCCCGTCCAGACACACTGCTTGCTCATTTTGGAAATCTGGGGAAGGGGAGAAGTTAGGGGGAAAAGAATGATCCTTGCATTGTCCCCACATATTTACCAATTTTAAAATATTACCATCTTCTGGAATTTTACTATCTTTTCAACCAAAACAGTGAAAACTAATCGCAGAGTATAAAAGTTTGACGTGTTGTATTCTGCATGCTAAGTAACACCTTCTTCAACAGGCCTCAGTGTCAAAGTGCAATGCAAACTGGTAAGTGGCATAAATTTGGTGAAACCCACGACTACACACGGGCAAATCCCACCCAGGAGTGTGGGCCTGGCTAAGGAAAGCCCTGTGTTCTTTCGTCCCCCCCCCTCCCGCCCCCCGGCACTGCCCTTCTGTCCTCCATCACTGCAATGCAGTCTTCTGTGCAGGATCCTACTTTGTCCAGAGAGAGATGGAAATCTCTCCTGTTGCAATGTCCCAGTTCACACCAATAAATAATTCTCACAGTCTGGAAAGTCCACCCTATCTCTAACCTAAATCTGAGGAGGTTTTGTTCAGTCTATTTTTTCTATTCTATTCACAGGGAAGATGTGTACAAGCTGGCCTTTGTGTAAGCTTTTGTGTGAGAGCCCTCAGTGCCAAAGACAAATTAAATTTGCTCCCAGCCTCAGAGAATCATCAAGTTTTACAGCTGGAAGTGATATTAGAAATCATCACCAGCAACTGCCCTCCCACTTTCACCCCATCCTTCCCAAGACCTACAAGGAACAGGAAGGAGCTGAAGCCCCCGGAGGTTAGGTGACTCACCCAAGGACACAAGGTGAGCTCATCAAGTTTTATCGCCACACTATATATTTTCCCCCTGGTGACTTTAACATTTTCTTATGAAATTTTCAACTGCAAATGAACTCTAAAGTTCTCTGGTAAGTAGCAACTTTTACCAAGTGATCACAAATCTTAAAGCACAAAGAGGCCCCAGCCCATGGCATCTTAGGGCATTAAGATAACACAGTATGAGTGGCAATACCTGTAGCCAACTGAATCTCACATGCCATCTAAAGTGGGCAACCCTACAGGACCAGCAATCATCACCCCACCCCGTTATTCCAGTCAAAAACCTTCAATTCAAATGGCTGCGTGACTTATCTCTAGGTCCCAGCAGATGACCACACAGGCAGACCCAGAACTCAGCTCTTCCTTGAAGGTTTACACTGGTTGTTGTTAAAACATAGAAGATTTTTAAAGTGTTTTTAAAAGTTAGCAGAACACTGTTTTCTAAAGTATCACAATGGTGCATTTGTACATGAGTTTCTGCACTGTCTTCAAGTCTGCTTTATGTAGAAGTTAGTCTGAATAATGTCTGTTTTAGCCTGTAAGACACTGGAGAACAGAAATTTGATTTTTTTAGAAGGGGGCCATACACAGATGCATATTTATGAATACATCTTGTGGGTCTGAATTTGACAATGTTTAACCATAAAAGAAACAGTTTCTCTAGTATTAATGTGCTCTGGTCGTGTTTATCACTGAACTAATTTTACTTCTTAAATCACCGAATGATACACTGTCCCAGGTCCAGTCTCTATGCCATTACTGCTCTTTCTGTCATAGCTCATGCAGCCCCTTCCCTTCCTACTCATTTCTGAAGAGTTGTCTTTATTTCCTCTGCATAACTGCACTACTCTTCATCGTTCATGTTTCCAGTGTCTTCTCCGAATTAACAGGGTCACTGTAGATTCTGATCTTACTCCCCAAGGATCCAGAAACCTGACGAGTCTGTTCTGCCAAGCCTTGGAAAATATTTCTCATTAGCTGACGTGTTGTAGTCAAGGCTGTGTTAGTTGCATGGAACATAAACTCTCTCTGCTGGATCAAGAAAGTAAGAGGGGCTTGTTCAGAGAATGTGCAAGAATCTCGTGTTTTCTAAGAGCAGCAAGTAAAATGGAATATTATTTGCAATACATTATGCTTTGTCTTTACTTCTTCTGCACTTAATGCCTCAATCTTGTGTGTATGATAGCTCATCTGAGTGCTGTTTCTTTAATGTTATAAGCCTCTAGAGAGCAAAGATGATATTTGTTATTATAGGTGGACTCCAGAGTCAAATTCGTGTTTCATGGAGGTAGACCCTGGGAAGTAAGACGTGCACCACGGAGATGGCTGTCACGGTCTCTGCCAAGCCCTTTCTTCTCTCTAGTCTTTTTTATCTCAACCATTCCTCCCTAGTATCTCTGGACCTTTTTCTCATCCCTTGGCATCATTATTATTGCTTCATTTCTTCCTACTCCTGGCAGGTTTTTCTCCTTCCTTGTGGATGTCCCAGTATTGGCCTCTTTGTCCCTGAGTCTACATGCATCTCCAGATTTCTGAACAAAGCATCAACACAGTCTCTTTATTTCTTCATTCCCGAAATCAGGAGGGATTCATGTTGGTTACTGGTCAGCCATGGAGTCAGTTGGTCTTGACTGAGAGTCCAAGGCTGGTGTAGTAGATTGATAACTGGTGGTCAACTTATCACCCCCAGCTGAACTCAGTAAGTATGGTGCTGGGTGTGGGAGGCCCACCTGAGGATTGTTGCCAGCAGCATAAAGGCAGACCTGGAGAAAAAGAAGCAGGCTGTTGGGAGCTGAGAGAGGCTGTGGGGAGCTGGCTTTCCTCATGAACTTGGCTGTTTTCATCCTCTGAGGAGCTCGGGACCTCGCTGGCACTGAGAATGGCTTCAGTTCACTGTAGGTGAGCTCTGGTCCTCACTTTGAGCATCGCTTCCTGGTTCCAGAGGGGAAGATGGTGCACTGCCGGCCTCCTGGAAAAGCTTGCTGGGTTGGCTTCCCTGATGGGAACTTGGCCATCCTGATCATTGGAGGAGCTCAGGACCTCACTGTTGCCGAGGATGGCTGTGGTAACTTTTGGGGGAACTCTGGTTCTTCTGAGCATCACTTCCTGGCTCCAGTGCAGATCCCTCAGCCTGCTAGCACAGGTCCTTCATCCTGCTGGCACAGACTTTGTAGATTCCACCACTGATCTTTGGGCCTTCCCAGAAGATCCATGAAACAGGTCTGCATGAGACATTGTCATGGGCTCTGGGCCTCCAGCTGGATTCATGGGAGGCATTGTTATGAGCTCTGGGTATTCAGCTCGACTCATGTAGGACATTGTTGTGGGATCCAGGCCCTCAGCTGGATTCTTTGGTCTTAGTGTGTGGACAGATTTCCTGCACTCTTTTGTATACTGTTCTTTGGGTGACTTATAAATAATCATATAAAGTATGGGTCCTGTATTATGTTGTTCCCCCTGCAAAATAAGCCCCAAACCAACACAGCTGGTATAGGTCACCACAACGGGGAATGGTTGAGAAGAGAGACAGGAGTTCCGAAGGGCTGTTCCAGCCAGCAGCTGTAAGCGCAGTAGGCTCCCTAGAAAGAGCCAAAGCAGTGCTGTCAATCAAACTTACCTGGTACACCTCTCACGCTAGCATTTGCTGTTCTAAAGCTATGTGCACTGCCTAACAATCTGAGTACGCACAGGAAAGCCATTATCAATTTTACCTCCAGCCAGCAGGGGCCCCTTCAAGGTCATACCTAGCTACTCTCTCCTGGGATGATGCCGTACACTGTTTTTCTCCAAAGGAAGTCTCTTTCTCCTTTAGGTCCATCTCACAATCTTGAAACCTGTGTATTAAATGGGAGAGTTAATCAGCACTCCCAAGTATGTATTAACACAGGAAAAAATGACACAGCTATGAAAGAGAAAGAGAGAAGAAAATGATTACAAGATGGTTCCAGTCTGAAGCATATGCAGCAGACAAGAAGAGCATCCACCAGTAAAATCCATGCCTGACAATTCCCCATCTCTCAGTTTCTGCCTTAGGAAATTTAACCTAGGACTTTAAGATCGTGCCTCAAGCCATTCCCAATTCTGAACATAATATCTCTGTGAAAGTGGAACGTTGCTGTGTTGGAGAAGTAGAAGTAGTGCTTCTCACTAGTGCACCCCTCACGTGGATGGGGGAGTGCTCTTAGGAGAAGGGCAGAGAGCAGGCAGGGAGGTTAGCATGCTAACCCCGGAAGAAGAGCCTCTTGTTGGTGGGAGGCAATGCCTCCGGACGATACCAACAGCATCCACTCAGCATCTTCTTTCCTACTCTGGAGACAGACTGAATAGCCACTGGCCTGGGGTAGAAGCACTTGAAATTTAATCCTATCCCTTCCAGAAGCTGTAAGTATGGCAAGTTTTTAGAAGGCATAGGCAGAGAAAGCAACGTCACCTGCAAATATATGACATACAAGATCAATGAATAGTATGTCTTTTTTTTCCCCGCATAACAGAGTGGTAAAACAAAGAAAAACAGCTTCTGCCTTTGAAGAGGTTTTAATATAATTGGAGAGAAAGATACCTTCACCTAAAAATGGCACAGGGTGGTAAATTAAAAGAGTCAGAGTGCTGCTTCAGAAAATAAAAACTACAGGAGTTCAGAAGCGTAATCAGTTTATTCTCAGAGGAACTAAGATGTGTTGTGGTGGGCAAACTTTAGCCGTAAAAGGCCAGAAAGTAACTATTTAGGCTTTGTGGGGATATGGTCTCATTGCAACTCCTCGACTTTACTGTCACAATTCAAAAGTACTCAACACAATGCCTAAGCTAAAAATTATACTTGTGTTCCAAAAATACTTATGGAACCCAGGGCCTTCACACCATTTATTTACATTTGGAGACACCAATTTGCCCAGGCTGCCATCAAACTTATACATACTCCTCCTGCCTCAGCCTCCCAGAGTACTGAGATGACAGGCGTGTGCCCCAAGGCCCAGCTTTTCAGTTCATTTCTTCCCTGGCCCATCAGCAGTATGTGAAGCAACTGGTTTCTCCTGCTCCCTGGGGGATCTTCTTCGTTAGGTTTCTCAGTTCTCCTCTTCCTCCCTCAGTAGATTCTCTTCAGTGTCTGCAGTGGTCCATCCGTCTTCCCTCCAACCTCTTCATGTTGGAGAGATCAAGATCCTCTGCCCGCCTCAGTCTGCACCCACAACTGTTCCGAACTGAGTCAGTTTTGTAGTTTCAAATGCTGTCAATGAGCAAATGCCTCCCAAATGTGTGTCTCCAGGCCACACCACCAGACTTTGCACTTGTACATCCAGCTGTTTGCTTGACAGCCCCTTCCAAACATCCCCATCTATATTTTTCTCTATCTTTGTTCTCCATTTTTGCACTTGCTCTTTAAAAGTGCAGTAAACATTTATAAACCTACCAGTTCCTAAGGAAACGTAAACACCTTCTTCCCAAATAGAAATCAGAAGTCATAGGAGCCACAATTTTTTTCTGATCACAATGCAAAAAAATTAAAAGTTAACAAATTCAATCATTTATAAATTTTCAAACCAAATATAAACCAAATGCAAGCAATTCTTAGACAAAGGGAAAAATCAAAATTCAATTGCAATTTATTCAGAAATTAAATAGAATTGCAAATCTGAATATGTAGGCTGTGAATAAAGAGGGAAATGTATAGATTTAAGTGAAATTATTAGAAAATAAAAGAAGTTAAAAGTAACAAACTGAAATATTCACCAATGAAGTTGAAAGAGAATTACAAAATAACACTATTCAAAATAAAATGAATGAATAGTAAAGAGATAAATGAGAAGTTAGAAAAAAGTTTTAAGGTAAACAGCCCAGAAAACCAAAAGTTGGTTCTTTGGAAATATCAATTAGGTGCATATTTTACAAATGTAGTCACGTTTGTAATTTACAAAGAAAGAAAATACAAATTAAAAAAGACAATAAAAATGGAGACACATAAATAGACAGATATGGAGACAAGCTTGAAATACCAAAAGGAAATAGATATATACAGAAAAGCTGAAAATTTATGATGAAAAGACCACTCTAAAGAAAAACAAACTACTAATAAAGAGAAAACAGAAACTTCCTGTTAGGGTTTGTGTCTGGATGTCCCCCAAAGCCTCATGCAGTCATGGGACAGGCTTCTAGAGTTTATGATTGATTCATGGTCCAGTGTTGGGATTATGGGTGTGATTGCTACACCCGCCCTGTGGCTGGTAGTTTGCATACAATGTAAGGGAGGGAAAGAGGCTTGCTCTTTCAGTCTGCTCCTCCCTTTTGCTCTTGTTGCTGTTGCCGTCTTCCGCTGCCTTGAACTGTTGCCCTCTGCCATATGCCATTCTGTCTTAGAGTCAGCCGAGTATGGACTGAAACCTCCACAAACTGTGAGCTAAATAAACCTTTCCTTCCTTAATTCTGGATGTCAAGTACTTTGTCTCAGCAATGAGAGAAAAGCAATCAAGACAGAATTTAAAAGTAACCAAGACACCTCCATAAGTTGAGAGTCAGAGGAGAAACATAAAAGGTGGTCAAATTCTACTACAAAATGCATAAGGCTTAAGTGGCTTTACAGGTGATCTCTACCACCTTCTAAAACCATCACCCCTGAGTCACTGAGACAGCTCCCCACACAAAGAATTAGAGGAGACCATCCAGCCTTGCTCCCTGAGGACAGTGTAATTCTGATGCCAGCGCTTTGTAAAGAGAATTCCAAAAAGCCCTAGTGATCAAAACAACTTATGAAAAGCCTAAATAAAACTTTAGCAAATTAAATTTTACAGTGTATTAAAGAGTACTTTATATGATTCAATTATGATTGACCAAAGATGAAAAATGATTTAATATTAGGAAATGTATTCATGTAATTCATGATAGTAAAACATTACAAATGCAATGAAATGAGTTTTGCTAAATTTCAAAGCTCTTTATAAATTATCCAGTCTTTCTTGTTTGACAGTGTGATAGAAACAGAAACAACTTACTAAAATTGACAAAGTACAATACAGAAATATATCATAAATGTCTTATTTAAAGTTGAATTGTTGGAAACATTCACATTAAAATTATGAACTGAACAATGGGGCCTGTTTGAAATACTTCCCTCCAACATTACTGTCTTCATCTCTACGTATAATTATCTATCTAAAAACATCAAAAATAACTGGAAAAAACTGTTAGAATTATTAAATACAATTTAATAATGGACCAGACTTAAGACATAAACCCACAGCTTTCCTATCTGAAGTCAATAATCAGTTAGAAACAGTAACAGAGAAAAAAAAAAGCACTCACAGCTGCCTACTAAGAAGCAATGTGCCTAGAAATAATCTTTAAAAGCATGCCAGAAATATTGACAGGAAACAGTATTTTACTGAAGGACATTTTTAAAAGGAATTGAGTAAAGTAGCAAACCATCATGTTGAGTGAGAAAATTCAATACTCTTAACGATCCTAACTTCCTTAAAGCAATTCACAAAGTCAATATGATCCCAGCAAAAATCCTATTGAGATATATTTGCGGGATAAGACAAAATTATAAAATTTATTTGGAAAAGAAAATATATTACAAGCACTAAGATATTTGAGAAAAAAGGATATTTCATTGTAAACTGATCTACCAGTTATAAAAGTATATGCCATTAGAAATGTAGTGAAGTTCTGATAATCAGGGTAGAGTGTTCTTAGAGCAGCATAGAAAAAGGATAAATAAACTAAAACAGAGAAAAAGAGCCTTGCATATATAAAAATTCAGTACATGTAAAGATGATATTTCAAAGGCCAGAACTATACCTCAATGGTAGTGTACCTGGATAGTATAACCAGGCCCAGGGTTTGATACCCAGCAACACACACATACACACACACATAACAGTAAAAATCTCAACATAATAAAAGATAGAATAATCAATAAATGATATTAAACAGTTAGCTGTTCACAGGTAAAAATAAATTTAATATAGATATAACGTCATAAAAATGACATTCTAAATTAAAATTTTAGAGTTTTAATAAACTGTAAAACATCTTCAGAGTAGAGAATAAATTTTACCTTAGTTGGTCTAGCTCCTATCTCAGCTCCTGTGAGGCAGCCTGGAATTTCCCAAGTGATTGGAGTGTTTTTCCCATTCGAGTAGAACCATACCTGACAGTTTGTGCTGATTTTACCATGATGGACTCCTGGATGGCTTGTACTGAAAAGATGAGTCAAGATGAGAACTGAAGGGCTGGGGATTTAGCTCAGCGGCACAGAGCCTGCCTGGCAAGCTCAAGGTCATGAGTTCGATTTCCGGTACCGGAAAAAAGCCAAAAAAAAGGTGAGAGCTGACCACACCTGACAGGTAAACCAAGTAATTAAAGGGTTGAGTGGAACTTGGAGCTGTATCCACCCCAAGAGAGGGGCTGAAAATACATGGCTAACAATTCAATTGTGTATATGGAATGGAACCCCAATATAGTTTGAGATACCGAAGCCTGGGTGAGATTTCCTGGTTAGCAGTACTCGGTATTATCACACAGCAGTGTTGGAAGAGGTAATACTGTGCAGGGCTCCCAAGGGAGAGGTCAAGGAGCTATGCACGTGGGTCCCTACCTGACCTCACCTATGTATCTCTTTTAGCTCATTCTCATTTGTGTCTTTCTGTTATAATAAAATTGCAATCATAAGGATAGCACTTTTGATAAGTTCTGTGAGTTATCAATCTTGAAAGTATTTATGGAGCCCCATAATTTTTACTGAGCTGATCAGAAGTGGGGGTGGCCTGGGAGAACTCCCAAATTACAGCTAGTGTCTGAAGTAAGGGCAGTTTTGTGGAGAACCACATCCTTCACCTTGAGTTTCACAAAATATCGAAAAAGGAAATAAAAGTAAAGAATATTTTAATAATCTTGGTATTTGCAAAGACTTTCTAACACAATTCACAATACAAAATATATAAATAAAAAGATGGACATAGTTGAGGACAAACTTTCTGTAAAAAAGAAAGAATACTACAGTTAAAGTTACAAGATACACAACAGATAATGAAAAATATGTGAAGCCAATGATAGACAAAATATCATTTATATATAAAAGGAATTTCCTTAAATCAATGGAAAATGATAACTTTTTAGATGGCTGAACAAGCTATTCATAGAACTAAAAATATAAAAAAATCCACAAAGAGACATCCTTGCTCATAATCCAAAAATGCAAATTAAGCAATGACATATTGTTTTTCATTCTTCAGAAGGGCAAAAAAAAATAATCCAGTATTGGCAGGGACGTGAACAAACCAAACTTTCCTGAACTGGTCATGGAAATGATTGGGTTCAATATATTTGCACTTACAATTTTGTAGTATCTAAAACTTTTAAATATGGATAGCTTTTGAATTCTAGAAATCTACACTATAGAATTATTCACATATGTACCAAGATGCATGTACCTGGAGCAATTTTAGTTCCAGCAAAAACTGGAAGAATCTATTTTGCACATAGCAGGCACTATTAAAAAAAAAATGGGTTGTGTCCATGTATCCTAGGGAAGAAAGCTCCCTCCCTCACACATAGCATGAGAGGGAAAAAAATCATAATACAATATGCTTGAGCACACTTTAATATATAAATTATACTCTATCTATGTAATGTAATGTAGGAAAAGCTTTATAAAGATGCCTCTGGATCGTTATACTACTAATTTCTTTTCAGTTCCTTGAAAAGAAAGGTTTGCTCTCATATTGTTTAGACAATTAAATGCCTATATCTTGTGCTCTGAGTACCTAATTTAAAGATAATCATACGTAATGCATTAACCATTGTTACCCTCCTATTATCTTGTTTTGAAATTTTGATTTGGTGTTTTTTTTTTTTTTTTACTCTTTAAAAAAATACCCCTGAAACAATTAGCCATAGGGGGAGGGTACTAACTGTTGAGTTGGTTTTCTCAACGGCCTTTCCAATCTTTTTCTTAGTTGGAGAGGTTGAAAAGCTAACAGCTAGTAGGGTATGCGCGGGACTTGGCCTATGAGGGGGATTTAACACAGGACTTAGGAGACAATAAAAGTGAGGCAGATGCAATTTTTTCTTGTCTGTTTTGGTGTTTATAGTGAGAAGCAAAGTTCTAGAAACAGTTTTTCTACAGAACTTTCCAGCTTCCTGGTGTTAATATAGAGATGTGAGTTGTGGCAGCAGCTGGTACAGAGGTGGATTCTTGATTCTGGCTTTCTGATTCACAACTCTTAGCCACAGTGTCCATTTTCCAGCTTCCTGAGTGTCAAGAGCCCCTTTCAGCAGCGACCAGGGCAGCAACAGCAACCTACCGAGCTTGGGTCCCATCTACAGCTATGAGATGTTCCCCTCCTATACCCAGCAGCAGCCTCAAAGACAGAAGCTTCCCTGGTAGGTCACTCTAGGTCATTCTGGAGTCCCAGCTTACAGCTTATTCCTGTCCCTCTTTCAGTGATTTTGTGAGCACATAAGTCCCTGCATTAAATATCTTCACGTATGAAATGCCTTTGGAGGTTTTTATTTCCTGCATGGAATCCTTACTAGGTGAGAATGCCTACCTCAAGTTACCTAAAAATACATATGATAAAACTTAGCTCTCTTTCTGGAAATACCTTAAGACTTGGGATGTCACTTAGCACTTTTCCAAAAAGACATCCCTGTAGGGTAATAGATTCTTGAGGTAGATTCACTAGAGTTTATTCAGTTTATTGGTTTAGAAGGAGTGATATTTAACAGAAATATTTAAACTTTGTTGACAAGATTACAACAAACTGCCATTGAAAGCAAAAATTTTCCAGTTTTAATACAATAGTTTACCAGTTTTATGGCAATCACAGAACAGATTTGCAATTGAATTTCCTCAGTTTACATTTAATCTGAGTATAAAACATTTTTCCTTTAAAATAATTCAGAAATCCTGCCAGAGATGTGGCTCAGCAGCACAGTGCCTGCCTGGCAAGTGCAAGGCCCTGAGTTCAATTTCCACTACAAAAAAAAATTCTTGCTCTCATCTTAGTGGTGTGGTTTGGTCTGGTTTGGTTTTTGAACCCTGCCAGCTGCTGGTGCTCAGAAAATGATAGCCCAAAGTATGGTATTTGACATGTTGAATACTGAACTAAAATCATAGTCTCAAAGTCTCTCTGAATTTCCCATATCCCCTCTCCCAGTCTATCAGTGCTCTTTCTCTCCCAGAACACAAGAAAGGCTTTCTCCATGGTGTCTTCACCTGACTAGAGGAAGATCCTCCAGAAGGAAGGCCATTGTCTTGGACCTCTTCCCTGTAGTTTCATCAAACAGAGAAGACACACAGGAAAGAAGACTAGAGTTGACACCACATCCAGGGCCCACACAAACTATCTGTTGCAGACAACGTCATTCTCAGCTCCATCTATCTCCCCTAAAAGTCATTTACTTATCCTCAAAATTGCCTACAGTCCCACTTCCCTCTCCTCTTCTTTTTTTTTTTTTTTTTTTTTTTTTTTTTTTGGTTTTTCTCCAGTACCGGGAACCAAACTCACGACCTTGTGCCTGCCACGCAGGCACTTTTGCCGTTGAGCTAAATCCCCGGCCCCCCCTCTCCTCTTAAAAGAAGTTTCTATAAGCTTTTAAATCCCACTGGTTTCTTGGGTACCTGATGGAGACCACTACAAAGCAGACCTGAGCAGGACTTAAATTAACCAATTGGCTTTTCGCAGTCACTTGTGAATCAATCCAAGGCCTACGCGCCTTGTCTGGAAATGGCAGACTCATAGTAAATGAACCTCTGTGAGTCACTAATCCCTACTAAAACCTGTAGTGGTGATGAAACCAGAAATCCTCAAAGAATAAGACAAGATCGCAGCCAAGGACATCTGGATCGGATCTCAGCTAGATAAAGGCTACAGTCTCAGACATCTCACTCCTGGGTGGATTAATTTAGTACCTTACTTGGAGAAGTCCTTGAGTTGATTCTGCCATTCCTGAGTACTCCTCTCCCTTCATCTGATAACCAAGTAAATACAGGCCACCCACAGAAGGTCTTGGTCTTAGCCCTAAGAGAATCTCAGATTCTGTGAGAGGGCTCTGATCCTCCTGGAGTCCTGAAATCATTCCATTTGCCTCTTTTTATTTAGCCTTCACCATACACTCATTTGGGAGATTGCAGACCTCATTGGCCCACAATAACTAAGGGATTTTATTACCCCAATAGGTACCCACTATCCTGTGATATCCTGTGTGCAATAAATGTGAAAGCCTTTTCCCCCATGCTAATCTGTCTTGGCTGACTCAGTTTCCAAATCTCAGCGGGTAGAATGGAAGTTCCTTTGACCCTACATCACCTACAACAAACCTCTGTTGTCTATTGCTGTCTCCCCTACCTGCATCCAGGCTCAGCCCCTAAACTAAAGCAGGCCAACCATGGAGACTGCTCTCACAGACCCAGATTGGTTTAAAATGGGCATGTGACTACTCTGGTCCAATCAGCATCCTTCTCAATACTTTAACTGGAAAGGCTGAGAAACAGATGCTGGGAGGGGGAAAGGTAGGTTCTCCCAGAGCTGCTGATGGGGAGAGTTCACCCTGGAAAGAAGCCACACAACCCTGAGGGTTGAGGAGCTGCTTCATGCTGGTATTTTGAGCCCACAGCTTCTTCAGATCTAAAGTGAAGACTGGATTTTTCCACTACATGAAACTTCAAATTTCCTTCCCTGCTTAGGGCAGTTTGGAGTTTCTTTCACTTTCAACTGAAGAATCCTGACAACCCTCCCCCTGAAAATTATGAAATTATTTATTTTAAAAAAAATCCTTCATCACTATCTCCCATTACGGTATATATGGTATTTTGCATTCAAAAAGGATAATGTAGCCAGCTCTTTCTTATCCTTCAAGGATTCAGTCTTCCCAGAAGGCAAAAAAGGTCTTGCTGGTGTACTTTAAAATGTGACACAGTGAGAGAAGTTACATAGGTCAAAGGGTTCTTTATGCACAGGAGAAAAGGGAGGAAAATTAATTCAAATGAAGGAATAGACAAATTCTTCACAAAGAAGAAGATACTTATCTGAGCTCCCCAAACAAGAAAGGAAATAGAGCCAGGGTAGTTCAAATGGAGGATTTTCAGATTTTCAACTCTGCAGAGTTGAAGTTCAAGAAACACCAAAATGAAACCCCCAGGAAGAAATGGAAAGATGATAGGAGCCAGAGAACGAGTTCTGCTGCTATAATAAGCTAAGGAAACTAGATTTTTATCCTCAGGACACCGTACTGAATCTTTGAAGGATTTTAAAAGAATAATGCCTTGATTAGATTTTCACCTTAGCAAGATAATTCTAGATGTACAATGGAGGACAGATCACAGTGTGGGACCACTAGGAACATGTGACCACTCTACTTAGATGTCTATGTCTACAGTAGTTTTACACATGAGGGTAACATGTTCCATCTTAATGCAAAGGGACTTGACTTAAGATCTATTTAGCAAGAGACGGACGGACTTAAAACCGTGACTGTACACAATGAGTAAGATGGGCAAGGCAGGGGAGCTAAGAAACATCCTGGAGGCTAAACTCTAGCAAACAGGTTGAAAAAACCAAGTAATGAAAGATTTGAGGCGTAATAATTGGAGATAGTGGAGAAACAGCAAGACTAGAAAGGAGAGACAAGTAACCAAAGGGAGATGAAGTCATTACTTTTTATCATAAAAATAGTAAGTACTGAGATAAGCTATGGATCACAGTTGAGCCTGCTATTTTGCAGCCAATCTAGGATGTCATAGGCATGAGGTAATGATTGAGCATTGCCTAGACAGATCTACTGTGCTATATTTTAAGAACAAAACCTATAGCCAGGACCTTTGATCATAAAGACTAGGGAACTCACTTATGAGGTCCCTGCAGGCTCATAAGTATGCTATATCTTTAATACAATTGCATACATTCCATTTATTATGGAAGAAGAGGTCAATTATCATCACATTTCCCCAGGTAGATTCAGAGAGAAATACTGACCGAAGCCACCCTTTTTGCTGACATATCAGCTGGAGTTTCTATATTCCTCTGAAATGAGACTTTCACGCTTGTAACTCGTGAATTGAATAGTAGGCATTTTATGGAATATCTTAATTCTCCTTCCCCTTTTTCTTCTTTTGAGACAGAGACTCCCTAAGTCATTAAGTTGGCCAGACTGGCTTCAAATTTCCATCTTCCAGCCTCCCGGAGGACTTCAATATGAGGTGTGTGTCACCATCTCTGGATAAGAAGTAGATCCTTGAGAGAAGAAATTCTAAACCTTAATCAATCTTTCAGTGCTTTCATTATTGATCTTTCAGTGATCTTTCAATTGATCTTTCAGTGATCTTTCATTATTTGCTATATAATATTCAGTTTTATGTTAAGAAACAAGTTTCAGGTATGTGTTTCCAGCATAATCAATGTCAGTTTCTGAAGTTTGAGTTTTTGAGAAAATAGATACATTCTTCCAAAGTCTGTGACAAAGCTCAGTCTTTCTTATTTTTTTACTTTTTCTCTGAGCAGCTGCTATTTTTTTTTTATTCATTGAGTATTTATTGAATATTTATTGTGTGCGAGGCCCTGTTCTGGCCTCAGGATATATTCATGAATAAAGAAAAGAACTCTGCCCTTGTGGAGCTTACACTCCAGATTGGGATGGGATTGGCAATACGTTTACATAAATCCAAACATACCTACTGGCAAAAAGCCAACACATTTACACAATATAATTACTAATATGAGAAAAGTCTACTGGTGGTATGCAGTTTTATTGTCAAACCTTGTGCTTACTATTTGTGTGATGTATTCAGACCTTAACATTTTTTGAAATATCATATAAAGACAAAGAATGAAGACATGAAATGGATATTGACTTGTATATTTCTTGTTAACATTTGCTGACCCGTTAGGTCAATATATTTTGAAGTTTACTTTACAAATCAATATAATTTATTTCATTTTAAATTTAGATTGCTTTAAATTTCCAGTATCTTCCAAAAAATTTTTATAAATATAAAACTTGTGCCAGAGTATATTAATATATATATTAAAAATTAGTTTCTTTGAAAGTCAGAAGTATACTGCATAATTATGGTTTTTGCAAAATAACAGAAGCAAATTTGAAATGACCCTTTGCCTGTCTCCGTTTCATTCCATGTGCCCTTATTCCCTTTAAAGAGCTATAATGTCTAGAAAGCTGTACAAACAATTAAGCTAAATCATTTTGTAAGCGGTTCTGTGAAATGCAAGAGTGATTTTTTTCTTAAAGTCCAAATGTGTAACTCAGCTTACATGAGCATATAAGCATATTTTGCTTAAATTACATTTCCATCTGACAATATTAATTTCATCAAGGAAGCTTAGTATAAAATTAATTATAGCTATCATTTATGTGATTTCATCTTCCCCTTCCATTGAAGCTTCAATGAGAATTCATCAACTGAAGGGCACGATTCACATTTTAACAACAATAATAAAGGAAATAAC